AGGGGTGGTCCCAGGAGGGTTAGAGTATATGGTGCCACCAGCCTCTCCACAGGTTATTTCATAGCACATAGCTCCCCAAACCAGTCTTTCTGCCCTGCAGCCCAGCAGCCTGGCCCTGCCACCCACCTGTGCTCTGGCTGTGTCCCCTCTGCTTGAACCCTGCCTTCCCTTTCTACTCCCTTTGGGACATTGTGCAGGGTCCCTTCCCAGATACTTTTCCTTGCTCCCTAGGAAAGTAGATGATGCTGAGATGCCTGGACTCCTCCACTAGTCATGTGACCTTGAGCAAGTCACTTCCCTCTGAACTCTCACTTACCATGTGTGACATGCATGTGACAGCAGGCAGGCACTCAGAGCTCCCTCCCCGAGCAGGTGCAGCACTAGTGTCCAATGGCGTGTGCTATCTGCTGTGACAGACATACCTGTGCCTCTTGCAGAACGTGCCTAGGGAGGGAAGACGCAGAGCTGGGTCAGCAGTTTTCCCTTCTGGAGGACTTGATACGTCATTAATGGGACACAGCCATCTTGCTCCCCTCTGCCCCAGAAGCTGGCTAGACCAGATGTAAACCTGAAGACCGGGGGGTTCTATCTCATTAGCCACCTTGCTAGGCCATTTCTTTCCTCCCTCCCTCCCTCCCTCCCTTCCTTCCTTCCTTCCTTCCTTCCTTCCTCTCTCTCTCTCTCTTTCTTTCTTAAATTTTTTTTTTAACATTTATTCATTTTTGAGAGAGAGAGAGAGAGAGCGCAAGTAGGGGGAGGGGCAGAGAGAAGGAGACACAGAATCGAAGTAGGCTCCAGGCTCTAAGCTGTCAGTACAGAGCCCAACATGGGGCTCAAACTCACGGACTGTGAGATCGTACCTGACTGAAGTCAGATACCTGACTGAGCCACCCAGGCGCCCTGCTAGGCCATTTCTTTCTTGACGGAGGCCTTTGCATAGCCCCTCATCCTGGGTGTGTCGGGGGGATTTAGGAGGCCTGGGAGCCTTGAGCTAACCTGGAAGGCCTAAAGACCTGGGAAGGGGAATATGCTGCCAACTGAATTGGGTATTTTTCCAGAGGAGTTGTCAGATGCAAAGAGATCTGGATTGGATGTAGGGAGCCTAGGGGTTTCCTGTGGCAGCCTGGAGTGTGGATGCGGGGAGCCTGAAGCTGGACACAGAGGCAGGCTCAGGAGAGGAAACAGAAGCACTGAGCTTGTGCCCCGGGCCTGGGCAGGCCTCTCTTCCCTGTGTCTTGTGGACTGTAATGCCCAGGGGAGCTGTGTGCAGTCAGTGGCTCCATGGAACCCAGAAGCAAACGGTGTGGGGAAAGTGTGACCTGTTTCCCCATGGTATGAGTGCTGAGGGTACCTTTTATTTTTTCAAACAACTTTTGAAAAATGTTTTTTTTAATTTATTTTTTTAATTTACATCCAAGTTAGTTAGCATATAGTGCAACAGTGATTTCAGGAGTAGATTCCTTAATGCCCCTTACCCATTTAGCCCATCCCCCCTCACACAACCACTCCAGTAACCCTCTGTTCTCCACATCTAAGAGTCTCTTAAATTTGTCCCCCTCCCTGTTGTTATATTATTTTTGCTTCCCTTCCCTTAAGTTCATCTGTTTTGTATCTTAAAGTCCTCTATGAGTGAAGTTATAGGATATTTGTCTTTCTCTAATTTCGCTTAGCATAATACCCTCTAGTTCCATCCACGTAGTTGCAAATGGCAAGATTTCATTCTTTTTGATTGCCGGGTAATACTCCGTGTGTGTGTGTGTGTGTGTGTGTGTGTGTGTGTGTGTGTACATATGTACACATCTTTATCCATTCATCCATTGATGGACATTTGGGCTCTTTCCATACTTTGGCTATTGTTGATAGTGCTCTGTAAACAAAAAGAGACCCTCTTTCTCTGCATCCTCACCAACATCTGTTGTTGCCTGCGTTGTTAATGTTAGCCATTCTGACAGGTGTGAGGTGGTGTCTCGTTGTGGTTTTGATTTGTATTTCCCTGATGATGAGTGATGTTGAGCATTTTTTCATGTGTCGGTTGGCCATCTGAATGTCTTCTTTGGCGAAGTGTCTATTCATGTCTTTTGCCCATTTCTTCACTGGATTATTTGTTTTTTGGGTGTTGAGTTTTATAAGTTCTTTATAGATTTTGGATACTAACCCTTTAAATGATATGTCATTTGCAAATATCTTCTCCCATTCTGTCAGTTGCCTTTTAGTTTTGCTGATTGTTTCATTTGCTGTGCAGAAGGTTTTTATTTTGATAAGGTCCCAATAGTTCATTTTTGCTTTTGTTTCCCTCACCTCCAGAGACGTGTTGAGTAAGAAGTTGCTGCAGCAATGTTTATTTATTTTTGAGAGAAAGAGCACAAGCAGGGGAGGGGCAGAGAGAGAGAGAGAGTGAGACACAGAATCTGAAGCCCGCTCTAAGCTCTGAGATGTCAGCATAGAGCCTAATGTGGGGCTCAAACCCACAAACCATGAGATCATGTCGTGAGCCAAATCAGATGCTTAACTGACTGAGCTACCCACGCATCCCTATTTTTCTTTTAATGTTTTATTTATTTTTGAGAGAGAGCAAGAGCGAGCATGAGCACAAGCAGGGGAGGGGCAGAGAGAGAGGGAGAGAGGATCTGAAAAGGCAGAGACACCATTGAAGGGCTCATCCTCACGAACCATGAGATCATGACCTGAGCCAAAGTCAGACATTTAACTGACTGAGCTGCCCAGGTGCCTTTTAAAATACAGTTTCAGGGGCATCTGGGTGGCTCAGTCGGTTGGGCGTCCTACTTCAGCTCAGGTCATGATCTCACATCTCATGGGTTTGAGCCCCGTGTCCAGCTCTGTGCTGACAGCTCAGAGCCTGGAGCCTGCTAATGATTCTGTGGCTCCCTCTCTCTCTGCCCCTTCCCCGCTCATGCTCTGTCTCTCTCTCTTTCTCTCAAAAATAAGTAAACATTAAAAAAAATTTTTTTTTAAATATAGTTTCATACATTTAGGTGGGAAGTGAACTAGGCAGTGCCCTTCTCGTTGCGGTGGTTTTGCGCCAGCCGTGACACCCTGCAGATGCCTCAATTTCCTTCAGAGAAGCACCAGCTTTAGACTAAAGACAAGAGCCATATACCTTCTAGAAGGGACATGTGCTGGAGCAGAAGCTAAGGCTAAGGCTCCTCCCTGGGGCAGGTGGGGGCAGGAGAGGCCAGGGGAGTTTGAACTACAGGCTGGAAGAGGGCATATGGCAAGAGGCAGTTTCAGGGAGTGCAGGGCAGTGTGTGGCAGTAGGTCCGGATGAGGAAAAGAGGAGGTGACAGCAGGGGCTTTGCAGGAAACCACTACAAGGAGAGTTCCCATACTTAGCAGGCCGGGCCCAGGGCCTTCTTCCTCTTGGCACCATCCATTTCTCTACCTGGGCTCTTCCAAAATGGCCTGTTCACCTTCCTAGTCCTGGGAGTTTGTTGGCACCCGAGTGGATTCTAGAGCCTGTTTTCCACCGCTGGGCAGGGGCCATGCTGCCTGCCATGGGATTCAGTGTATCCCAGCACTGTGAAGGTGAGTCCTGCCTAGGAGAAATCTGCTGCATTTGGTTCAGCTCAGCACACTAAGCTGCCCTAGGCCCCGTTTGTGATGTTGCTGACATCAGTGTGAATCACCTGGGACCATTTTGCTTCACTTGGCAGAGCAGCTGGGCCCAGCAGCTGGAGGCCTGAGCTTGTGTGTTCCTGTCCCTCTGCTCCCAGGCCTGGGGCCTAGTCACAAGTGGTGGGACAGCTCATTCTGTTTGCAGATGTGCTGGTGGGCCAGTCGCTTGGGTTTGGTGCCACTCTGACCCGGCTGCGTTAGAAATGTGATAATGTAGCTTCCGGGTCCCCCACCATGCCAGCGTCCCATGTAGCTTCTCTGGCCTATACACCCTGTGGGAGGAGAACGATGTTTGACTCTAGGAGCTTTGTCTGGTATACTAGAAGAAAGGTCAGGGCCCCTTGCCCAGCCAGGAGAATGGGCAGGCAAGGAGGGCGGGCATCCTGTCTTCCTGGTAGGATCTGGGTTCTTCTAAATGCTTTTTCTTATTCCCTGATTCAAGGACCAAGAGACTAGCAACCCCCAGAGTAATCCCCACCCAGTCCCCCTAGCACTGTGGCAGAGGAGTGTGTGGGAGGGAGGCGTGGAGCTGTGGCCCGACATGACACCAGTGTCTGGAGTGCCCTGGGAGAAGTGCCAGATTTCATCTGCAGAACTGGATGGTCCAAGAGTTAGGGTTGGGGGTTGTGGGCTGGGCTACAGGAAGCAGGCTCTGAGGGGATGCTCAGGGGCTTGACTAGGGTGTGGAAGAAGCCACCACCTCCAACCCTTGGAAGCTCTGAAACTGTCAGGGCCTTTGGATTGGTCCTGGGCGAGGCAGCTCTCTGTGGGACTCACTCAAACGTCAGACCGAGGATCTTCAGGCCACCTGTGCTGGCAAGGACTGACACAGGGGCCACTTTGCTCCCATTAAACCTGAGACACAGCCTCCCACTGTGGCCTGATGGCTGAGGGGGTTCATGGAAACATGTAGGAAGACAGTCCCATTTGTCACAGAGCACATTCCTCACAGGCACACAGATGAGAGAATCACAGGCTGGGGAGGCCAGGCAGCACCATCCAAGGCCATAAGCTTCTCTGGCTCCCACACCTGTGAGGTAGAGACATAGGAATGTCTTGTCCCAGCTTAGAAGCCTGTAGCCTTTATGGTCTCCCTGCCAAGGAGCAAGGGCTACCCAGCATGGCCTTTCGGCCAGCACTTCAGTGATCATGGACTTGTGTCCATCCTTGGGGTGGGGAGCTGTACCTATGTTTGTATTCACAGGGTAGGGCATCTGAAGGAAGGTGTGCGGGTGAAGCTGAGAGGGAGAGGGGGCTTGTTTGTGCAGATGGAATCTGTGGGCCTGGGGTGGGGGGAGGGGGCAAGGGTGCAGCAGGAGTGAGAGTGTGTGGCAGGCGAGAGCAGGCTGAGCCCCCTCCACTTCCAGGTCAGCCAGAACAGCCTCACCATGCTGTCCTCACCATCGCCGGGCCAGCAGGTGCAGACCCCGCAGTCGATGCCCCCTCCCCCCCAGCCGTCCCCGCAGCCTGGCCAGCCCAGCTCGCAGCCCAACTCCAACGTCAGGTAGGCCTGGCCGGGGTGGCCCTCCCTGCCTGGCTCCCAGGGTGGGCCCCACCTTGTGCCCCAGCTCACAGATGCATCTGCTTTTGCTTTGCTGCAGCTCCGGCCCTGCCCCTTCCCCCAGTAGCTTCCTGCCCAGCCCCTCACCGCAGCCCTCCCAGAGTCCAGTGACGGCACGCACCCCGCAGAACTTCAGTGTTCCCTCCCCGGGACCTTTAAACACCCCTGGTAAGTCAGGCCTGGGGTGGGTGTGATCCAGGGACCAGAGCCCATCATGTAACCCACACACAGCCCTGTGGGTTGAGGTGCTGAGATTCACCCCCTTACCCTCTGGAGGCCTCAGCTTGTAATGGGGTGGGTGAGCCCTAGATCCCCCACCTTGAGGGTTTGCAGAGAGCCCGGGCTTGTGGGCTGAAGCCGCATTAACAACATTGTGTTCTGCAGTGAATCCCAGCTCGGTCATGAGCCCAGCTGGCTCCAGCCAGGCTGAGGAACAGCAGTACCTGGACAAGCTGAAGCAGCTGTCCAAGTACATCGAGCCCCTACGCCGTATGATCAACAAGATCGATAAGAATGAAGGTGCGGCTGGTCCAGGGCAGGGGTGCAGTGGCGGCGGCGCGCCGCCCGCATGCAAGTACCCCTGGCACGTGTCTTAGTAGCCCCTCTCTGTCCCAGACAGAAAAAAGGATCTGAGTAAGATGAAGAGCCTTCTGGACATTCTGACAGATCCCTCTAAGCGGTGAGTTTTGCTCCTGGTCCTGGGGGCAGGACAGTGGTGTGCCCATGTCTGGCAGCTTGGTTAGCCCAGCCTTGGACGGGCGTTTGGTGGTGAGATGGAGTTTAAAGGGGCCTCGGGCCTCCACAGGTGCCTCCAAGCCCTTGGCCCCTTG